TCTGAATTGGCATGGCCAATGCCTAACGCTGACGAGATGACATGATAAGATTAGTAGCTTTATGTCTCTTTTGAATCTACCTAATGGGCAGTAGCGCCGGCGTTTTCAGACGCGACGGCGTCGCCGCCGCCGCCGATTCTTTTTCAAGTTGACCACGCCGCCGCCGCAAAGCCTGTCGGCGTAAACCTCTAGTACATATATTGCTAATATGAAAATGAATAAAGTGGTCTCAATATGTAGATTCATATTGAGAAATTCGTGTGTAGAATTAGTTAGGAACATATTTAGGTACATATCTGCATTGAAAATTAATAGGTACATTTATCATTGAGCTTTTACTAACCTTTACAAAATCCTTGACTTATTTTATTTATTTATTTAAGGGAACATGTTTTTCAACATTTTATTTTTTAATCCTGATATTTTAAACAACTTTTGGCTCTTTGGATATTTTTCGTATAAGAAGTGCAATTTATAAAAACTGGCGTTGGTTTTTTGAAATTTGTTTGCGAACGGATTTTTTATTCCATAAGAAATTCGTGTTTATAAAAAAAAATCAAAAATCTGTTTGCAAAAAAAAAGATTAAAAAGACTCAAATTTTATGGGCTATAAAACCGCGTACCAAAAAATTCTCCAAAACTTCAGATAAAAAAGTTCTACATTTTGATGAAAATTTTTGGAATTTCTCTGAATTTGTATTTTGTTTAAAAATTTAATAAATATGGTTTCTGTTAAATCATAAGCAATATTTTCATGAAAAAATAGCAAAAAAATTTGGACTCGTGAATTTAAAAAATCAACATGTGTACATTTGTTTGAGCCACTGTAAATAAAAAAAACAATCCAAGCTTAGAAAATCTTTGATATTTATGTAACTAAGAAAATTTTCCTGAAACAACAATCGAATAAAACACTTTGCTAATTAATTATATATTTTATTATTCAATATTTTTTATTCAATGCTTTTTTCTGAATTTCACTTAAAGGTTTTGTTAATTCTATTAATTAATAATGTAGTGCATGAATTCAATTACTTGCGCGTTATAAGTTCAAAATTTTTAATCTTCTGCTTTACTTAATTTCAATCAATTTTATTTTATTTTTGTTTGCAACTAGAAATAAATAATAGTAAATAGCGTTCAATAAGTCATTATTTGAGTGACTAACAATTATTCACGTTTTGTTTTCGTTAAATATTTTTTATTTATATTTTTCCGTTTGATAGTTGCTTGCGCATTTTACACTGGCTTTTTTTATTGATAAAGTTTTTCTTTTTAATTGATTTATCATTATTCAAATATACTTAATTGGTAATTAAATGCATTTTCAACAACTTAACTAAGTAAGATCTTTTATCTGGGTTTATTCTATAAACATTTTGGTTTCAGTAATTTTCAATTAATTTTAAGAATTTTATGAGGGAATACATATTTTGTCGAGGATAATATGTGGAATTAGAGCATAATTATTTTTTACTTATTATAAAAAGCATAACAAGCATTTCGTATGGTCGTATTCAAAAATGTATACCTACAATATTTTTGTTCTAAGTCGCAATTTTTATAACAATATTTTTTTACCAGAAAACGCGTTACAAAAAGATTGATTTCACTTTAGAACAGGGGCCGTAACGGTTATGATCTTTACCATAAAGATCACAACTTAAGCGCTAAAAATTGATTTATATTTTTCCAATTAGATTTAACCATAATTTTGATGATTTATAATTTTTTGGATCGTTAAATTTAGATTTTATTTTTTCGTTCAAATTTAATCGTTATTTTGTGCTCTTTATTTTTTCGACCATAACATAACCGTTATTTCAGGACTTAATTTTTTAGATATTAAATAAAAGATTTAAAATGGTCAAAAAACGCAGTCTCCATAATAACGGTTAGAAATTATCGCAAAAATACAAATTAACGATTATTTTTAATAAAAAAAAAAAATCAAAAAATAACAATTTTGCATTGAGCTTAGAGTAAAACTCTTGTCATTTAACGGTTATTTTCAGTTCCTACTTTGGAAAGTAAAATTCATTTTTTTTTTACTTTCTTTGTGGTCTATCAAAATTTAATTAAAATACGTAAATGTGCCGCATTCTGTGCTAATTTAATATTTTGGGCTTGAGAATACCTATTTTCTTTACGAATAAGTAAACAAATTTAAACTACGAAAAAGTGGGAAATACTACTCTTGAAAAGGTGGTATATGGAAATGACAATATAAAGTATTTCGGCTCACTCGTTCTCACAAAAGTTGAGTTTAAATAGTTTGACAGGAAAGTTGCAATGTTCCTTGAAAATTTCGTAAAAGATTTTCTTTGAAGAAATGCTTGCGATCAAAATAGTGCACACAAAGTTTTTTTTTTAATTTTTTTATGACAAAGTTTTTTTTAGAATTAGAGAATTTAGCAAGAAAAAACCAATTTGATCGAAAGATGAATACACATACATATACATTTTGAATGAAAGCATGAGTTGCATTCTTTACAGTTATTTTATGTTCTTGTTTTTGTGTTGCCGACGCCTGGATAAAAGACTTCCGTTAGTGGTATACTTTAAAATAAGACTTTTTAGAAAGTCTATAGTTTTGAGTAATCGCATTCCAAACTTCAATCGCGCTTTCTCAAAACCTGCCGAAAGTAACCTCTCTGCAAAAAATGCTGCGCCTTCTCTAAAAAGAGTATTCTCAGATTCTTCTCAAGCGGATACAATTGGGCATTAATTGGAAATCAATTAGACCCCTACTCATCTCTAACGGTTACTATTAACGCTTTAATGATATGTACGCTCTTAGTCAATGAATTTCATATGCGGCGTTGGCGCTTAATAACGCAACTGGCGCAATTTTTTATTTTTATTTATTAAAAGTGACTAGTCGCTTTTTATACCCGTTCGGGTATAAGGGGGAGCATTAGTCTCTTCAAAGAACACGCTCGAACAAAAACGAACAGTTCATTCCATTTAAAGTATTTATTAGTCGCAAGTTCCTTTGCGAGTCATCCCGGATGAGTCGCATTGTTTGCAGGGAATCGACAATCTTTTATCCAGGCATTACTCATAAGATTCCTATAGAACAACAACAACCGATTTAGTATGTATTTTGTAACCACGGCTGCTGCGATTACTTTTCGGTTCCTATGCGGTGTTTCAGGACTACATATATAGACTGCTGAAGGGGGTCACAGGTCCAAATCAAACTCAATGAACTTTCGCGAAATATTATACGTATATACGTATGTACTTGTGAAGGGGGAAAGTTAGTGTTAATCTCTACATAGTTGAAAATTATGTACTTAAGCAAATACTTAAGTTTCTGAGCAGTATTTAGTACTTGTACACTTGACAAGCATGTCTGCGTGTGTGTGTGTGTGTGTGTGTTTATAGCTTCGCTATCAATTTTTTAGTGGATTTACAAAAATACATGGATCAACATCTAGAACTTTGAATGGGGTCGATTTTTCTTGGCTTATGCACTATTGAAAAACACAACAACAATAACTCTTACTTGTTCATACAGATTTTGTCATACAACTCTATGGGGTTCCACATATGTACGTATGTATGTATGCATGTAATTCCTAATTCTAAAGGACCCATTTAATAATGTCATAAGAATTTTTACTTCAAATCTTAGTTTCTATTTTAATGCGTTCCACTACAGGCCAACGAAAGATGAGCCATTCAATTCTTATAAGTACGAGAAGTAAGTACGAGAAGTACACAGACAAGTAAACGTACATACATACATACAAACATTAAAGGATAACCAAGTCTTCGCATACAGCATTAAAAAACAATTTCCTTTTTTTTTGACAAACACTGATGCGTCCCCACGCACGTTTGTATATATGTATGTATGTATGTAAGCACCTATTCAGAAGGGAAATTTTCGCAGGAGTTTCACGAAATCGGGGAATCAAATACAATAACATTGAGAAGTTGCCCATTAAGTTTTTTTTCTGGTTTTTCCTTTTACCGAGCCTTTTGCCATAGCTGCTCATTGTAACGCCGAATATGTATAAAGCAATCTACATAGTGTCTCATATAAAGTATTTATGTATTTGTATATTTTGGTATGTGTATTTTTTTGCGCACCTACAAATATATGTATGTAAATTCATAAAAATTCTCGGCTAACTAATTAAATATTTATCAAGTTTGTATGTAATACATATACATATATGTATGTATGTATGTATGTTAGTAAGTGAGACAAGCGCGTACATATGTATACGTATGTATTAAGTATATAGTAAGTAATGTATCTACATATATTGTAAGTACATACCTGTTTTATCTATGCTTGCAATTATGTATTTTTGGTAGTAAATATGTATGTATGTATGCAAGTGTTGTAAGTATATGCTGATTTCATATTGAATGATTAATAAGTTTAGGAGTTTAATGTCTAAATAAGTTTTGTGTTTCTAGTCTTTTTGGAAAGTATTCGGTATATAGTATTCGATATTCAGTGATTCAGTGCTGCGAAATGCCAAAATTTGATTTGATTACACCCACGCTACGGTCTCTGGCAGTTTATTTGTATTTCAAACTAACTAAAAGTCTTAAACAAGAACAAGTTATGAAAATGAAAGGCATTGATTCCATAAATAAGTCACGGCGCTAAATATTTGTAACTAGTTTAACGAAAAACAAAATCCTAAATAATTCGACTACATAAATTTCACTACCCGATCCTAAAGCTGCATTTACATGAGGCGATTTTCTATGCGATTCAACATTGGCGAAGAAAAATCGCTCGTGCGAATGGTGGTTCAAAAATCGCTTGCCTCAAAGTAGACAGCAAGCCAACTTTCGCAGGCGATGGCGATTATCGCCTCATGTAAAGGCACCTTTAAGGCATAACTAGAAGTCAATATTACGCTTTAACGAAACCAAAAGCCATTTACGTGTTGCCATTGCATTTTGGCGCAGCGCTCCCAGTTAGCTTACAAATTTTAAAACGCAAATTTCAGCAACGTATTTGNATTCAAAAATAGCTTGCCTCAAAGTAGACAGCAAGTCAACCTCTTGCAGGCGATGGCGATTATCGCCCGTCAAAAAATCGCCTCATGTAAAGGCAGCTTTAAGGCATAACTAGAAGTCAATATTACGCTTTAACGAAACCAAAAGCCATTTACGTGTTGCCATTGCATTTTGGCGCAGCACTCCCAGTTAGCTTACAAATTTTAAAACGCAAATTTCAGCAACGTATTTGAAGGCAAATCCATAAACTTATTATCGAACTGCCAACGGCCTCACTTGCGATTGTCCGGAAACTTCCGATTTCGTGGACTGTGCGATACATCACGACGCGGAAACTCGTCCAGCTGAAATCAAGCATTATCATTACTAACCCTTATATTAACCGAGACTACAATTTTGCCCACCAACCTTTGAGGAACTGCTTTTCGAGCGACTGGAGCTTGTCTGCCGCATCGGCACATCCATCTCATCGTCCGTGTAGCAGCTGTACTCACGCGACGAGTCACTGAAAATAGTAAACAATATTTGCTTGAAAAGACCGCTTCAGTAAGCGCTGTTAACTGAACTAACCTTGGCTCAATTCCATCTTGTGTGTCAGGGTCCAGCAATGGCAACATATCCTCACCTTGCTGTAGAAGATCCACGCTGGTTATGGATTTGCTGCTTGCTACACCGTCAGCCTCATCGTCTGCACCGACCGTGCCTGCTTCCTCCGTCTCATCAGCGCCAGCGCCCACGGCTCCTTCCCTCTTTGCCTCATGACACTCGCACTGACAGTCTTCCGGCTTTACATAGTTGTAGTGGATTTTGCCGTCCATTGTCACATCTGGCTGTGGTGGCTGATGTCCATGTCCGGGCCCTTGGCCATGTGCGTGGGTGTGCGCCGCATGTTGCCCACTCGTTTGGGCGGCGTGAGTTCGGCTGCTACTAGTAGTCGTGGAAATGACGCCGTCTTTGGGCAAAGCCGTAATTCGCTTTGGTGGCTTGCGTTTTTCCGGTATATTTTCGAAATCTATCCAATGTCCAGAGAGCTTTCGTTGCGTCGTTGTGGTGCCGGAGGTTGGTGTAATTTGCGTTTGCGTGGTCTGCACGGTGGTTGTGGTCGCTGTGCCGGCAGGTGACTTTGTTTTTGTTTCCTTTCCTTCCGGTTTTTTCTGCTGTAACAATTGTTTGTTAGAATCTTTGCGTTCCAAGTTGGCTGCATTGGCGCGCAGACCCTCCTCGGCGAACTCAAACCAAGACTTGCCGCTAGTGTTGGATGCTCGTCGTGGGGACTTTGCGCTTTGTACCCGCTCCTTAGTTGAGTCTTTACGTGGCAAACTGATGCGCAATTTCTCGCCGCGTACTGGCACAGAGCCATTAAGCTCATAAGCTGGCTCCTGAGGTGTAACTATGCCGCAATATTCCTCTAAGTGGGAAGGATTTAGTGGCGTAGTTGAGCGTGGACGCTCCACAGGGCATGTTTTCAATTCCATGTTGGCCCGATCTTTCATAGGAATGAGTGGGACGCCTTGCGCTCGCTCCTCGGGTAGTGTAGTGGGCACATAGGGAAGCTCGTCGAAGGACTCTTGCGAAACGAGTCCTGTACTCTCGTGATCTTCGATAGCGCCGACATGACGCGGCAAGTGCCGCCGCTTGGGGTCGGCTAACGCAGAGCTGCCGCCTGCTAAGTCTGAGTCTCTTTCACTTTCGGATGACTCAATTGGTTCGTCGGTCGAGGGCATTGATTGTCTTTCGGTTGCGGCATGTGAACGACGAGGGGGTGTTGAGGTTCGTGGAGGTTTGACGGGTGTGTGTTTTCCGGAACGATCTACAGGTGATTGGGATTGCGAGCGTGGTGGATGTGTCGTTGGCGTTGGCGAACGGCTCCCAGAAGCGGAAGCAGCAATTGGAGGTGGCGAAGGTGAGGGCGCTGTAGATGGAGGTGGCGGCTGAGGCAGTGTTGGCTTACGTTGTTGCTGTTTTGGTGGTTTTTGATCTTCATGTTGCTCTGCAGCAATTAAAATCGGCTCTTCTACGCCCTCAGCGCGTTTGCTTTCGGAAAAGCTTTGCCGTTTTGGCTTACGGGGTACATTTTCGTGGTATTTTTTCCGCACATCAAAATTTTCCAGATACCGGGAATGGCGTTGATTCAAAACACCGCCACCAGCATCCGCGTCGTCTTCTGACGTGGAGCGCGATTTTCGCCTCGGCTCCTCATGTGATTCCTTGCGTCGCATAACAACTGCAGTAACTGTTGTTTGTACAATGTGTTTCTCGTCCTCAGAAGTAGAAATCGATTTCTGGCGACGAGTTGAGGTTTCGGTAGAGCTTCGCCGTTTCGGTGGCATTTTCATTGGCTCTTTGGGTTCTGCTACTTGTGCAGGAGCACTGGCTTCCACTTCCTCTTCTGAACGGCGTATTACAGTGCCCTGTCTGCGCAGGGTCTCCGACACAGGACTCTCGGCTATTGTTTCTTGTATTTGCTCAGACAACTGGCTCGATTGACTTTCAGTCTTTGAAATACTAAATTGTGTGGAAAAAATTGGGTCCTGACTGCCAGAGCCGAGGCGTGTCGTAAAGAGCAATCGACGTTTTTCTTTTGTATGTTCAGTTTCGGGCTGAATTTGTGTGATATTCACGTTGACCATCGCCACCGTCTCAACGACCTTCACCTCCCCACCGCTATCCACTGAAGGCAATCGATGAATTTCCGCCTCCGCTGCCACACCATTTTCCTGCACCACATTTTCCTTAACATTTGCCAGATTCGAACGAAGATTGACCTTGATAGCGCTAGCATAGCTTATCTCTGAACCGGCAGTTTCTTGCGAATCCTGGGAACTATGTTTGTTCACTTCCAGACTCCATGTGCGCTCTTTATTGTCATCATCTTGCGACAGCGTATGTATGGCGTCGAGATTCTCGATGCGCTGCAACTTATCCACTTGCTGAGACCTCGGCTGCGATTGACCACTGCCCGATGACCCACTTCCCGAACTCTTCCGGGCCCCCACAGGCTTCAAAGCTGCAGCGGCCGCGGCCAGCTGGCTAGCCGTTATAGCTGTTGGAACTGGGCGCGTCGGCTCCGCATTTAATTGTTGTATGCCGTGCAATAATTTTCGCGCCTCCTTTTCCTCAGGCGGAGTATGAAGCGGTATGTGTATTACGCCTTCTACGGGCTCATCGTAATAACGTAACCTACTAGCGGGTCGAGAACCACCACTCGTTGATGATGGCGTATGCGACTTGCTGCGTGTTTGCTGCGCCTGTTGCTGTAGCTCATGTCCATCAATGGGCGAGGAACTCTTCGAAGATTTTGCATCAGCGCCTGCGTTGCTACCACGTTTGCCGGGCTTAAAAATCGCTAAAACGGATTTCTGTTTGCTTGGCGTAACATTTTGTGACTGCGGAGTTTGGCGTTCTTTACTTTTGCTACGTGAACGTGAACGTTCGCGGGGCGAGTCAGGCGAATCCTTGCCGCCAAGGCGAAATATTGAACTAAATGAACTTTTTCGTGAAACGGGCACATTGGCAGGAGAAGGAGAGCGGCTACCGTGCGTGTCCTTCGCCAGAATGCCATGACGCGTGGGCTTGGGGCTAGCCGTAGGTGTCAGACGGTTCTCATCCACGGCAGTGCGGCCTAAGCTGAGCGAAGCAGGTTTCTTCTGGCTGCGTGAGTAAAGCGGAGCGATACTGTTTGGCGCCTCGACAACTTTCTCATGCGGTGCAATACCCCTGTCGTCGTACATGTGGTCGGGTTTCAGGTTTATGCGTATATACTCTGTGCCACCGGGCGTCTTTCCGATTACCATCTGCCCAGGACTTTTGGTGCTTCGACGTTGAGCACCCATAGTTGGCTTCCCAACACCACCAGCACCAGCGCCAACAATACCAACAGCGCTGGGTCGCTCAGACCTCTTAGTACTTTTCAATGGGGGCTTGGCCTCACCGTTTGACAGCGTTGTGGGCTTCTTCTTTGGTGAACTCTCCACGGTGATGCCTTCTGCCAACACTGCCTGAGTGGGGTCGTGCTTACGCGCCAATAACACCTGTTCGAGTAATTCAGCCGTTGGCGGCTCAATAGTAGTTGAAACGCGACCGTCCACTACATTTTCCAGTGGCTTGGGACCACAAAATGATGTCTCCAAAAGCATTCGATGTGGAGAGGGTGAACGCGAAACGCCCGATACGGCCGACAGACGACTCACGGCCGAACCCTGACTGCCGACGCTTGAAATGCGACTTGTGCGTCCGGAAATGCAAAGCAATGCAGCGACCTCGGAGCTTGCGGAATCCTTGCGCTGATGCTGCTGCAAGTAGCTCTGATGATCGTCAAATTTAAAGATGTGTGGCGAGGAGCGCTTCGCTTGCTGAAATATATGGAATAAAATAGGTGTACAGTAATCAGTAAATGAAACGCAGATTACAAGGGAAATAAATTGAAAGCCGGCAACTTTGCGAAAAAACCAAAGAAACTGAAATTTATAACGTAATTAAAGGGAAGAGCTGCCATCAATCATAATACAGCTATGTGCATATGTACATGCAACTCCTACCTCGCAGAATCCTTCGAAGATTCGTTGAAAATTATAAAATACATTCAAACTATGAGGCTGCATTCGTCGAAGCCTGCGAACTGAGGCGATGATCGCTCATAATTGAATTTCAATTGTTACAGACGACAACGTCAAAGGCAACAGTGACGAACGGGCTAAATGACAGACTGCCGATATGCGCCATAACTGATTGTTGATGAGCGTAGGTAGATTGCCGCGCATACCAGCCAATGAATGATGGGCAAGGTCGGATGCGCGTTATAATGGAATTGTATGTACATTTGTATGTACGTGTGTATGTACATGCCGACAGCTATTGCGGATGGGAGGAGGCGCAATGACTGCTGTGATAAGTGGATGAAAAGCGGAGAAAAGGATTGTTGGCTTATTCAAATACATTGCAAACAATATGCCATGGCAGGACTGACGCCGAACAGAATCAGCGAGGAAAGATTTATTTATGGAAATCTGTATTGTGTTTGCTTCGGCTGGAGCAGTAGTACGTTGATTTTAATGCTCTTATTTCGGAAGCTTTGGTGAAATCGCCGAACGGATTAAGCAGCACCGGCAACGTTTTTACAGCGACAAAATCATAAACTACGACGTCATAAAGACTTATCGTTTCAAAACTTCTGCTTTAACCTCTTCCAGCACATAACCTGTATTTAACGGCAAAATATTTCGCTAACTTTTTTAGAACTAGCTTTGTGTAAACATTTACATATCTATGTATAAAAACCCCTGCCTCTTTTAAAGCAATGTATTTTCGTGCGACTTTAAGTTGCCAGTAAGTTCACCTTTTCCTCTTCAACAGTTGCTCAATTCATTTGCCCCGCAATTGTTGCCTTTAAATTTTGCAGCGTCAGTGATATCGGCGACACAGTTTCACAAAGACCTCTCTTCCAACTTTCAGCGCCCATTTTTTACATTTCTACATATAAAGGACACATATACTTACATACATGCACATTAGGGTGGTCCAAACTAAGTAATGTCGGAATTTTAATGCTCTCACCCCCTAGGATTGTTCTATACCGAAAAGAGTATATCCGCATATTTTTATTTTGAAATCAAAAAATATTCAGAGGTCGCTCAAAGCGCTCCAACTTTTCCATGTATTTTGTATGGGAAACTTTGAGCGACCTCTAAATATTTTTTGATTTCAAAATAAAAAAAATAGGGGTATACTTCTTTCGATATAGAACAATCCTAGGGGGTGAGAGCATAAAAATGTCGACTTTACTTTTTTTACATGCATTTTTGGACCATCCTAATGTACATACTTTGTAAGTACATATGTGTGAACGTTTTAACAACAAATTTGCTGTTTTTGTGGTCACATGAAATGGGTAAATCATTTGTACGAGTACATACATATTAGAGTTTTCCAATGTGACCCAAGCAAGTGTGGTGGCAACAACAACAGTGTAGCCGTACAATAAAAACTCACAAAATTAATGACTTCGTGTTCGAAGGCGTACCAATCCATGGCATTTACAAAAAGGCTAACCTAAATACATTTCGCCACCACCTACACTTCGGCGTCGGAGGTGTAAAGGGAAGGAAAGAGAACAAAGGTACACACCGATGTGTGAGCGTTTGCCTGCAATATCCGCAATGTTTTGTTAAGCAAAGCAAATATTGCACGAATGCATGAAAGCTTCGAAGCGGTTTGATTTTTCAATTGTATCGCTTGCCAAACTCAAAACGCCTGGTAGTGCAGAGAAAAGTGGACCAACTGTTTCCAGGACATGCACGGCACCAATTTCGATACAGACATTGCTGCTGCTCAGTTTCACTTGCTGCAACACTTTCGGTCCTTCAATTGATGCCGTAATACTCGTATGTATGCCGTGTCCCAGTTGTGGCTGGTAGAATATTGCGGTTATATTCATTATGTGTTGGGTATAAGTACTATTTGGCTACAGTGTACGAGTACATACATATACATATGTATATGTATTTTGCGCCATGCCGTGCCAGAGAATGATCTGAAAGACGATTGCATTCTTGCTGCTGGTTATTGCTTTTATTATAAATTTTGTTGCCAAAGTTGCTGCCACACTTAAATGAACTCAAATCGATTTTAAACGTGCGTACTACCACCACTCGGTTAGTACCAGTTTCGATGCCCCTGATTCGAGCAACATCCAAATGAGTTTTATTTTTCTAAAGCGGTCAACCTCCGGCCGGCAATGGTAAACCTCCGAGTGTACTTCAGCCATGAAATAGTTCCTCGTATTTGCCTCCATTTATTTGACAAATCCAAGACGTAAATCACGGTTGAGAAGGATATTTAGGCCAATTATTACTATTATTCTTTTATAATTTAATACAGTTTTCAAGAGTATTTTATTAAATTTTATTTAAATGCTGTTGCAAAAAAAAAATGAGGGTGGCTGAATTATTTTAATAATGTTGATTAGTTACAGGTTAGTTGTAGATACAAAATAACCCTTTCAATTTCATTTAACTTTTATTAAGATCATTTTTGTGCATCAGTGTAATTTTTGTATGAAACAAAAGCTCAAAATAATGTTACTCATACGCCATATCGTTCATGGCCCTACCCACCATGCAAAACATGAGAAATAGGCAACAATCGTCAATGGCAACAAATTGGCGACTCACCGATTTATTGCCGTAGTGACAAATCGGCAACATTTCGCTTCAACAGTATTATTCAAAAGCGTCTAATATATACCAAAGGCAGCATTGAAAAAATAGGAAGCTCCATAGTTCCAATTTTGTATACAAAAAATAAATGAATTATTAAAAAGAATAAAATTATTCTAATTGTCGCCTGAAGCGATAAGAAAACGCCTCATTCAGACGAGTGGTTACCCGTACATGGCGTATGAGTGACATTTTCCATGTTAAAGTTTGAATTTTTTTCATTCGCAATGCAAACTCGAAATTAAAATATCTTGAGAAAATTGCCTGATCTAGAAAAACGATATACAGATCCGTAATATACGACCTAAAATTAATTTTACGTGTTTCGGTGTTTATTTGTATCATTTTAGCGTCCCTACAGTGAAATCAGAGTCGGCTGTCATAATTTTTTAGTGACGTACATATTGTCGATAAAATTCGATATCGTTTTTATGCATATTTTTGATCGGATTTGTTTTTCTAACAGTTCGCTTACAATTCAACATTGTTCTAATCCAGAATTCTTTGTGGCTTTAACTTTATCAACACTGTAAACTGACAGCTGTCAAAGTTTTGTAGTGCCTGTGACCATAAAGTAAAAATTGCCAATTGATTTTCAGACCAGTGAACTTCCGTCGGGCTCATTCTAACCTCAAAATTATTAACAACTCAGTCTTTAAAAATCGCACTGGTTCACCAAAATATCACTAAATTTTTTACATTTCTTTTCAACGACAAATCGTTAAAGAGTTCGCTTTCACTTACCTGTTGTTGCAGTTTCTCTTGCTCCTCCTTCTTCTGTTCCGGGTCCATAAAGTACAATTCCTCCGTTGAGCTGCGCAACTCCAGGGCGCCCTCTTCGCGAAAGCCCACACCGATCGTTTCCTGTAGGGTGCCAGTGCCAACCTTCATTTGATTATCATTTTCATTTCAAAAATTTTCCAACAAAACAAAAACATCAATTTTGACGAAACCGAAACAAAAGCGCGTGTAGTTTATAACCCAGGATGCCGTGAAATTTAATGGCGTTATTCACATAGCGGAGCCAACAAAAAAGTATGCAACGAAAAAGGAGCGTGTAGTGGTGGAGTGGTTAGAGGGGGAGGAGGGGGAGGAGGAGGGACGTAAAAAAAGGGCATGAACCAATTTGCGCATAAAACAAGGCGTGTGAAGGACGTGTATAAATACATACATATATTCGATAAAAGGGATGTACAGAAGAAGTGTACGGGGAAGAAGAAAAAGAGAAAAGCAAAAAGAAAATTTACTTTTCATGTGTCAGTGTCGAAAGTTATTTACATATGTACATATACACATACATCAAATGCATATATGTATGTATGAACTTGTGTATGTGCATTTGCTGATTTATTTATAAACGCATACTTGTACAAGGTTTAAGCACACGCGAGCGTATGTATGTATGTGTTTTTGCATGTGATGGAAGTGCTAATGTAAATACAGTATTGGTCATATCAATAGCACCCCCACCTCAAAGTGATATTGTTTGCCACTTATGTTTATTTTTTTTGCCGAAGGTGTTGCAGCTTTCTTCCATATAAAAATAAATTGGGTTTATTCGTTATATGGAAGCAAATGCGACAAGAAAAAAATTCTAAAAAATCAACGGTAAATTTTAGGTGCTTTTTTCATGTCATTGACACTAAAATTTAGTGGTCTATATACAAAATTCTAGCACTCCTGAGAAATAAGTTTGAAATTTGGATGCAAATTTTTTTGAAATTTTTTAGTTTTCTACAAAGTTTTAAACTTGGGTTTATATGGGTCTTGTTAGAGAATGAACTGTATTTTAATTGAAAATTCTTAAAAATAAATAAATAAACATAAGCGGCAAACAATATCACCTTTGCAATGGGAGTCCTATTGATATGACCGATACTGTATGTAGAAATGTTTGTAAGTTTTTTGTGTGTGACTTAATGTACATCAGTGTACGTGCATACATTAAATGCTAAACAACAATTACAAAAGCAACAACTACAACTACACAAAAAAATATAGCTAATCCCGTGCGACGTTACAAAATTATCAGCTGCGTTCTGACAGATGTGTGACAGTTGGATTTAGTTGCAGTGTGCATGGACAGTGGTGGGCCGAAAGCGAGCGGGGAATGCAATCGCAATCAGTGAAGCAAAGGAATGCGACGAGCAATAAGAGAGGACATGCAAAGTTTGGGGGAGAGAATAAAGGTGTGCGTATGTGCGTACATTCTATAGCCACGAGTTGATGCGAGTGTAGGAACATGTCAAACGAAGGGGTGTTTCGGCAACTTTTGATGGCGTCGTAAGCAAATTAAGTTAATTTAATTAATGAAGTCACATTTGGCTAATAAGCAGACATCTCAGTGCCTATTCGCAAGGCAAGTGCACTTGTGGGCTATAATGTGCAAAATAGCAAAATGCTGCAAGAGTTTGGGTCCGCTACGAATACATATGCACACATACACATTTCTCTGAAGTTGTTTCACCAGCAATATATTATATAAACCTTTAGACTTAGTTCTGCTGTCCAGTGCAGGGAATAAGCAGTGCTCAATGAAACTTTCAACTTTCCTCTGACAACCTTTCAGTAAATTCAATAACTTTTGATTTTAGTGCTCGGATTTACGCTTCAGTACTGCAAATTTTCATAACTGTTAAGTATACCTCAGCAGCGACTGTCGTTTAAGTGGGTCATGCACTTTCAACTTTCCACTGGTTTTTGGTAAACAAAAATATCAGCGTTTTCTCGAAAAAGCATTTCCGTAACAGAGACTTTTGTTGCTTCCTTACATTTGCTGCACTCGCCTGTTGTACGTTGCGGTGTATATTTGCTACTAATTTCGAGTGCGTGTGCAGCAACAGGCACTAAAGGCAAACACACGGCACAACCGTCCGTCCGTCCGTTCGTTTGTCGATGGCATGCAGCAAGCAGTCGCTCAGGCATTGTGTTCAATGCGAGTAGATGATGTAGGCGTGTGTGTATGCGGTTGCAACGTCAACGCTGAAACATTTTTCTCATTAAGGCCCACAGCTCAACAATTGCCCAAAAACAATAGCTGAAATTGTTGGCTGGTGGCTGGTGGCTGGTGGCTGGTGGCACGAGGAAGCAGCAGCCAGTAGCACAGCCAAGCATACAACAAGTTGCAGTGGCTTTGATACCACTGTGGCAACTTCAACTTGCTCTATACAAAAAACATAAAATACAATATAAGTAAAAAAGAGGCAAGGGCCAGCAATAATGGCTTGTCATCCTGTTTTTCCACATAGCGGAAATTTAGTTTGTTGTTAGCTGTTGTTGTTATTGTTGTTCCGCTTTTGCTGTTGGCAGTTATTAAAGCTTGGCATTGGTTTAAAAACTGCTGTATGTGTATGTATGTATGTATGTCTGCATGCAAAGTGGGTCAAATTAATTGTTACATGAAACATTCAAATCGCTGCTGCCTAAGTGCCAACCAAGATTCAGTTGTCAAGGGAATATGCAGTTCACTTTATTTAAGAACAAACGAACGAATAGTCGGAGAAGTAAGTGAAGAGTAGAAAGTATGGTTTCAGCCCAAGATACATTTTTAGATACATAGATAGACATACAAGTGCAAGTAGGCCTGAAACGAACGCCGAATTATGCGAGAACAAAAGATCTACTTTTCTTCATTTTGGTCAAGCAAAGCTTATTGTGAGCGCACTCATCTTTCGCGGGCGCTTGGATTTTCCCTTAATACTATACTTCAGATTTTCGCATTCATCACCAATTTAAGTATGCCGTATCGCCAAAGCTAGCCTGATTTACTATACCCACTTTATGGGTTTTTTGACGCACAGTGTAAATGCACTTTGCACCGCACCCACACTTCATAGACATAGTTTCTTCCGCCCCGCCCTACTTTGCTTTGCGCTGATTTCAACCGCTGCTGTTCCACATTTCGGTTGAACTCATTAACCCATAAAAGTCAAGAGACCAGCAGAAGGACAGACGAGTGAATAGTGAATGGCTGCAAAAAGTGTATGGAAAAAATGCTTAGCAAAACAGAAATACAGCAAATGGCACTTTAAAGACTAAAACAAGTATAACAGCAACAAAAAAAGGTTTAAATGAATGTTGTCAGGTGGAAGGCATGAAAAAGTCGAAGTGAATAGGCAAAGGCAACAGGAAACCAAATTCAATAATGGCAGTTAGACATGAATGTGAGCAGCGGATAGCGAGCAAGTGAGGGCAAGTGTGCAGTAAATGTGGCGATAATTACTGCAAGCACCAGTGGAAGATTGAAAACAAAAACTGCCAGCGGACAGCCGCACACCGCCCCGCCCATCGGAGAGTAGCAAATGCACAGCGCGACAAGCCACTAACTACTGCGAAACAAAGCTGCATTTGTGTGCTTATTACCGGCCTAGTATTCTTGCTACAAATACACACACACACACACTTATGCACATTTACATACAAACACTACATTTATAAGTTACAATTCTCGCATTATCATCACCTGCTCGAAAACATTCTCCGGACTGCTTTCCCGGCTATCCTCTTCGTGATGCGACGACGACGATGCGCGACTCAGTTCGATGCGCGGCGTCGAGGGTGTGGTAAGCGTAGTGGTCCCCTTGAAAATGCCACCCATACCAGCTGCCACCTGCTGAAGCTGCGGTTGTTGCTGTGGCTGACCAACAGTGTCGCTGCCGGTCAATGGGCCTGCAGTGGTGGCGGTGTTGGCGGCAACGGTTGCCTTCAGAGGGGGTGGACGCTTCGCATTGTTGCCATCGTGTTTAGTTCTGCTGCTGGGTGAAGCAGCGCCGCTCCCTGACATCGATATAGCGATGCTGGGTTGTTGCTGAGCATTTCTGGCTGCTCTACCTGTGTCTGTAGATGAGTTTGTAATGCGCTCGTGCGGCTCCATCTGTGTGGGGAAGAGAAATATCGAGTTACAAAGGAAAGCCAATGTGTATTTTAATGGGTTGTTAATTTAAAATTAACTTATTTTGCATTATAAAGTAAGTAATGAGCACACATCCAGGAGTATAAATAATGTATAAATTATAAGGTAATAGATATTAATTTTTGGATTACGACCAATTCGAAGCATTTCAAATTTGAACAGGATTTTCTTTTTAATTGCCATTAATTCAAATAAATTAAATTCTTATGGGATACAAAAAGTAAGTTGGAGATGAAAAGATAAATAGCTGAAATATTTATTTCCCACTCTCGTTTTCTTTTTTTTTTGCCGTAAAAGATTCCTCTATAAAACTTGTCTACTGTTCGAAGACTGAGCGGGTTAAATTTTCTTTAAAATTTTACATATATTAACTTTTATTTGCGTACACACATGCACACTTAAACAAACTCAAGTGTCATTACTATCTATAAAAAGTTCCCTTCATACAACAGCCATGACTGCCATTTTCTATACACTTGTGAACGCTGTTTCCGGCGCTGTCGACGCTTGAAAGATGTCATCCTTGAGCATATCAACTTTTGTGACATTCAAAGGAAATGGAAGACGCTTGATTAAGTTTAACTTAAAACACAGCATTCGGAAAATGTTTTTCACTTCCATTTTGCCGTACAACTTTGTCATAATTAAATTGATTTGCATGTTTTCTGTTTCTTGAAACTTTTATTAACAATTTAATTTACAACTTGCCGCTTGTAAAACTTTGCAACTTGGTCGACAAAAGCGCAAAGGGATGCATACCAAGCTTTCATGCAAGTCACTTATTTTGCTTCAACTTCGATGCCATTAAAGTATTCATGTGTCATAAGTCAATTTTCACTCGCTTCTTTGCCACTTCATTTGCCAACAACAGTGGGAATTATTGTGCGATTTTCGATTTAAAAAAAAAAAAAATATATATATTCGTTGTGTATATGTATTTTTTACTAACATTTTTCAAGAAATTAGTTTTATTGCACTCAGCAATATTTTTCTTTTTTAGCTATTTACGCCTTTGTGTCGTTTAACGGCAAATGTTAAGGAAGTATGTATGTAATTCCATTTGTCTTTTTTTTTCTTTTCATCAGCTGCCCAAATAGGCCAATTCGGGCAGAGTAATTTAACTAAAACATTTTCCGTTTCCCGTCTCGCACGACACTCTCCCCTGAATCTCTGGCCATTACTGCCTGATTCCTTACGCTTTCGTAGAGTCTCGTAGTGCTCTATAGCAGAGCAGCTATAATGGCTGGTTAAGCTTAGCACGAAGGCGGTGAAACAAGAACAAATCAAAATACAAAAAAAAAACTATCGTTTATCCATTTTCGCTTTACCATTTGTCCTGTTTTACTTTGCAAATCCATTGCAAATAAAACATCTACTAATGACTTGCTAAGCTCACTTGCTTTTGGCATGCGAATGCCTCCACATACATATATGCATACATACGTATGTATATACTCGTTCATATGCATGTGTGTGAAGTGTTCGTGTTTGTGTGTGTTAATTTTTAGCACAATTGCAAGTACTCTTGCACTTGAGCTCGTATTAAAGCCTTGAATTAGACACTTTGTATGTCAGCGTGCATGGAAAAGCTTGTGCGCCTAAAATTATGCACTTAAATTTCTTGCTTAAACTTTATTAATGAAAACGTGTGGCACGTTGCTGCCAAGGCATTGTATGTAAGCGCAGCATGAAAATATTAGCATCGAATGTATTTCCTTTTCCAATTTCAGGGTACACAAAAATTTTCTTTCTGTGCGAGCACATTTTCGACATTCCAGCTCTGCACTTACACATTCACACTAGTACACTAATTCTTGCATGTTGAAAACTATATAACATAGAATCCGTTTTTTTTCACTTTTTTATATGCAAATCTTGTCAAGTGTGTCTTTGCAAGGAACTTTATTGCTTTCATTTAATTCGTATTGGATTTTTGATTAGTTAAGTTCACTTTGTTGATGCGCCTTAAAGTAGGCAATGTCTGAAAAATTATGCCAATGCACATACCGCTTACACAGTGTTTGTTTGTGTGTGTTGGGTCCGCTGCGGCTGCGACAACGGTGACGGTAACGGCGACGACGGAGGTGGCACTAAAGTTTACCACTCACTGCCAGCAGACGGTAACAGCGACGGCGATTTGTGTAGCTGCTTCACGCACGCACCGAACACCAACTGACAGCCAGCAGCTTGTCAGCGGCGACGACGACTTGTCTGGCGACTGGGCACGTGAGCTTTGCTGGGAAGCGTGCGCGCTTTTCGCATACACATCGGCTGGCTACGAGGCGCTTGAGAGCTTTCACATGGCCCAGCAGCTGACAGCTCTGTCAGTCGGTGTGTGCATGGCGACCACAGCTGTTGGGCGCAGCGCGCCGAAAGCTTTTCTATGTAAATCGCGAGCTTTATGCTCTGCGCATTGTCAGCAAATCAAGCTTTAGACAGCCAGGCGCAAGGGAGAGAGTGAGAGAGCAAGAATACTAAAGAGCGAAAGCGTAAAATCTTTTGTTTACATTATTAGCCCTCATTCTGCTGTTCCAGCCATTATATTTTTGTTGTATGTAGTGCTTTATGGCCTTCTCGTTTTGACAACCGCGGGCACGTGACTTTGAATTCAAGTGACAAAAAGCGTTGAGCGGCGCGCGTGAGTTCGCCTGCAAATCGCCATTGGCTTATTTACATAAAACGCCAAATTAAAAGTCAGCCACGGTTCACTTTGCAATGCAAATATTTAGCGCTTGATAGCGCAGACAAGCTAGCGTCTATGCGGCGTTGACAACACTTTGACAGTTTCGTTTTTTTTTTCAAGTACATTTTGGAAGCAAATTTTTGAAGGGCGCGCGTTGGTTTTCAAAAACGGAGGGGAATTTAATTAAGCTACCAAATTTTCTATCGTCGTATTAGCATAAAATTTTGCAGTGCATAAATTGCAAAGTTCCTACAAATCGCTACACTTAAACATTCGACTTACCATCATATCGCCATTGCTGTTAATGTCCTTGGCAAGCGCTTCATGCGCCTGTATAGCACTCGGCGTCGTTGAACTCGAGAGCGGCGCTGCCGGAAAAACAGTTGCCGCTGTAGCTGAGCTGCTGCTGGTGATGGAGCTGGTGGTGCTGCTGTTGGCAGTGGTGGCCGTTGAGGCGGAATCCTCGAATGACTTCTCGAACGATGCAATTGGAGCGGCGCCGAGCCGTTTCTGTTTGCGCGTCTCCATCTCGGCCGCCTGGAGTTGGAGTCGGCGACTTTTATTTCGTTGCTTTTATGAGCTCTTTTTTTTGCAGTCGTCGCGTAAATTAGCACATTGTCACCATAAATTTTAAATTGCACACTTTACATATATATGTAGATGCTTCGCTTCGGGGTTGCGCTGATGATTGGTGCTGGTATGCACAACATGGCGTATGAGTAACATTTAGAGATTTACAGTTTGCTCGTTTTTAAAGAGTTTTCTACATTCAAATTTCGTCGGTAAGTGCATCTGTATGTTTTTTTTTTCTTTTATTTTTTAACTCAATTTTAATTTTTGTATTGAATTTTCCACTTTTTCTCAAACCTGGTTTACTTTCTTGTACGAGTAAATAAATACTTTTATATAATTTATACTAGCACACAACTAGCTTTAACGGTACACCACTCCTCTTAAAGTTCCCATATCTTTAATTATTAGTTCTTAAATATTCGTTAAGTATTCTTTGAGCATGCAACCATGTCATTGCCTTCGCTACGTTCACATTTATATGCGCGTGTTTTTTCTTGTCCTGCCAGCAGTCGCGCCTTTGTGGGCCCATTGTTGCTTCAGGCGCGCTGAACTGCACTGCAAATATCCAAATGCCCTTGAGGGCAATAAACTCGAGGTTATTACCAAAGTGTAACCAACAATGCAACAAGCCAAGCAAGTCGGCCGCCCGTGGTGGCATGCAACCGACGGATGTGCATACAGAGGCACCAAAATAAATAATGTCATAAACATAAATGAACATACGTGTATATATATATATATATGTATATTAGGCCGCACGTGTGCATTGTTTGTTAGTTCACGAAAGTAATAAAAGCAGCAGAATGTCGCTCGTTTTGTTTGTGTTTTTGTCTTAGCTTGGCCTGTCTGTGCCTGTTTAATTTAAAAAAAAAAACACTTTTTGTGACATAGCAATTCTCAACAACTATCGCTGTCGCAACAAACACACACACACACAGAGTACACACTTACGAGCCTTCCGAAGTGCACTATTGCATACACAACGCGCCTTTATGGCTCATTAAGCCATAAAATTCAAGCAACAGGACCGGCTGGCCCGCCTTTTGGGGCATTTATTTAAAGTTAAATGGTGCCAATATCATTTACCCATTCATACATACATATGTACTCATATAAAGCATTGTGTATGTAGTCACTGCATAGATACAGAAATAGTTTCGCTAAGTAGTGGACTGCCAAAAAAGTAGGAACAACCGCAAAATATGCTGGAATGCAGTGATATTTTAGCCAAGCAAGTAAGGTCTGATAGTTTTACCCATGGACTTGGAGTTTGACTAAAATTGTTCAACTCAACATACCTTCAATGGAAAAAAACCACAAACTTTGTGCGCAGTATGAAAAGCGCTTAGGTTGCCCAGAACGGAAGTAACCGACAACGCGATTTATCACCGTCGCCTTAGTACGATAATTGCTTTTTGTTTACTTATTTATTTTCCATTTGTGGTGCTTTGTTTTATCAATGTGTGGTCTCAATGCCAAACTTTTTAGGCAATGAAAGCACCCGGACACTCTCTTGTGCACGGATGTGTATTAGACTGGTTTTTTTCAGTCAACGTATCGGACGAGCGATATAAAGGGTGTCCTAGAGCACCCGTCCACCCCCCTGATAAATGGAGGCAAAAATATGGCATAGCAAATCGGGGATGTTCCATCTTTTGGTGGTATTATCAACTTCCTGTAGCAACCGGAAGTGAGTTAAACTGGCCGAAAGTTCATTTGTTTAAATTACATATGTATATGTACATGGTTTTACTACAGATTCGGATTCTGGGGATAAAAATACATACGTAACTTTCGTTTAAAATTTTTTTCTCGGAAATGCCTTTTTAAACCTCTAAATGACATTCGAACATTTACTCGTCCTGGCTTTTAAAATGGTCGAAAATGCCTTTAATGAAGAACAAAAAAAATATGAATCACTTTTGATAAAAACATTGCAAGGTAAAACCATTGAAAGGCAGTCTGACGTTTGCTAGCAATATCCCTATAAACATTCGGACTCTTTTTAGAGTCAAAAAGTCTACGAATTCTGAGTTGCAACCCTCTTTATAAGCTCAAAAAAGATACAGAAAAGAGCATATTTCCCTTCTTAGGAGGGCACACCAATATGGTTACTTTTGCTCAACTCATAGTATTTATAACGAAAGAAACACTCATTTTAGACTCATCAATTCTGGGCATTCAGAAATTGTTTAAATGGATAATCCTGATCTAAATATTTATATTTTATTTTATTTTTAGCATTTTATTGAGATTTGATTACGTAGCAACATTTTGAGTATGCAGTTTCGTAGCCCATTCAATTCTAGTATAATAAAGTGCAAATTTGAAGTAGCTAAGACTTACCGTTGATTTTTGGCAATTTTTTTTCTTTACGGTTTTTTAACGGACGTTGGGATAGGGAAACTATCCATCAAGTGGCCCGTGCGAATCTCTTCAAAGGCCGCTTCCCCGGAACCACTCGCGCGTTACATGGTGGTGAGGCCGTGGCATAAACATGGCACACAGTCAGTCATTTTTGCCATACGATAAAAAACCACTTTTAAGGCAATGTCAAAATTTTAAAATTTCTGTAAAAACTTTTACGATATTCATTGATAGGTTCTAACATTTTATCGATAGTTGAAAAACTACATCTCCTCAGCAGACTTTTTCAACTGGGATTCGATCCAACGCCCCAGCCGCCAAAGCCAGTTGTCTACCCACTGACCTAAGTTCGCCACGTAAACTGTTGTTGCCTTTTCCACTTTTTTTATGTGTTAAGCCAACTTCAATTAAGCGCAGCTATTCCGCTGCTATTTACACTTGATCATGTGGTTGTTGATTTTGTTGGTTTTTGTTAATAATTCTGTTTTTAGGATGTTTAACTTCTAGGTGTGCTCGTCCTTAAGTTATTTATGTTTGTTATTTATGGCCTTATAACAATTAAATTCAACAATTTGATTGAGCTTGAGGCCGTTTTTAATGAACATTTTTTGGTCATCTTCGAAATAGCAGCTATAACTTCTGCCAAAATATAAATTGTTGTGTTTTTCCGCAAAAATTTCCATTGAAAACGGCCTCAAGCCCAATGAAATTGTTAAATTTAATTGTTATAACGCCACAAAAAAACAAAAACTCGACCCGACTGCTACTTTTACCTACAATGACTTTCGGAGGAGTAAATTTATGGAAAAATCACGTCAGAAAAACGAGTTAAAAAATTTCAAAATTAAAACAAAAAGATTCCTCTGTCATTTATTTATACGCAATATAAAAATTCGCGATGATGGACCTTCAAATCTTTATATTATACTGTGTCGAAAATGTTTCACAAGAGATTTTGAAAAAAAAACCGAATAGTTGATTTTTTTCCACCAGTCTAAAGTGTATGCTTGATACATTAGGGTAACTACTATTTATTATCAAAATATTAAACAAAGAAAATCGGTTTTAGCTACATAAGTAATTGTATATTTTATTTTATCTTTTGTTTGCTTTGATGTCCAAGAAGTTAAAAATGTCCACCTAATTCCACTCAAATTTCCATGCCTTATAAAATTATAATTATCGCAAATGGTTTTACTGTATTTTCGGAAACAAATCCTGTTTATGTCAAAAAAAAAATAAAATAACAAGTAATTTTTAGCAAAAAAAAAACCGACTTCAACTCTCATATAAAAAAAAATATATATATACATATATATCTCATGATCCACTGATCTTATCTTAACCAGATTAGTATGGGACCACCTCTGAGACACTACCTTTCCGATGCAAAAAGAAATCGGTTGACGTGGTTCAAAGTTATGCGCTAACATACTCGTACATAAAAAAAAAAAAAAAAAAATATTCCGACGAACTGATAACCTCTTCCTTTTTTGGAAGTCGGTTAAAAATGAAACGTTTTTCTTTAATCAAGCGTATCAAGCTTGCATAAATTAAAGTTAAATCCAAATCTACCGCCATCGCCATTGCCACCACATAAACTGCCACAATTAGATTTCCGCGTTCAGTGCAAAATGTGTATTTATGTGTTTGTGTTTATACATATTTGCGCAGTAAATCGGCAAGCTTTTCTAAATCAAAATGTTTACCTCATAGTAAACTTTAGTCAAGCGTCTATGAAGGCTTGCACACAAATAAACCTACATACATACAAGCATACACAGCCATTTGCCACTTGCCGTACAAACGGTGTCGATTACCGTAGCAGAGTCAACACGTAACGGTCTATTTGAACGGCCTAAACGGCCACCAGCTATGCTTAAGATTAGCAGCCGTGAAAAGTTAAATAATAGTGTAAACGATGTTTGCGATTCGAAGGCCACAAAGGAAGCGAGGCAACTAAAATTAGTAGTGCAGAAATCGAATTTGGTTGCATGAGCTGAGTACATAGATATTCAATAAGAATTTGCGAAAGAGTTGTGGCAGTGGAGTAGGTGTGGACATGTGCGTCTAATATTGAAATTTTTGGAGGCCAAACTCTGACTTGCCGAAGGTTATTTTGATTGCATTTTGCGCTAGCAACATCGAAACGCTGAACGGGTACTACGCTGCGTATGAGTAACAGTGATTTCACGGAGTGTACATAAGTATATTTATAATTTCCGAGTATTTTTTCAACAATGCTGAAGAAAAGTTAACAAAGTTTTAAGAAATTTTCCTCAAAATCAAAAGTAAAAACTCTCCTTCATTTGTTCATGCAGCTATCTACCAAGCAAGCGTCCATTATGATCAACTCGCTGGAACCATCAGGCCGTAATATTCGCATGTCCATCAAAACTTAGTTGAAGTTCAGGCGCCATTTTGCTTAAACTTATACAATTATTCACACATTTTGGTGGCACTTCAGTCCGGCCGTCAGTTCATTTAATTTATTTACATACATCACTTTTATGATATACATACATATGTACATATGTAAATAGTACACCTCGCTTATTGGCTCTTATCGCACTATTAACTTGTTCCATAGTTTAACGTGTTAATATTAGTAGACTTTATTATAAAAGTAAATTTGCTAATATTAATTGGTTTTTAATTGTTATGTCAGCCGGACATGCGAGACGTTGCTCTGCTTGCTGCTAGGCCAGCGAATTAAAATCGATTACTGTTACGTCTACTGGCTGGCGCTGTTGCTGCAAAATGTGAGGTGTATGGTAGTGTGTAAATATGTATGTGTGTTCGCCGATAGATCAATGACCACAACAAAATGGTGGAAATGGGTCAGCAAGTGATTTATTGCTGGTTAATGGTTGTACTGCTTGTTTGTAGTGGCTGGTAGATGGTGGTGGTGGTGGTGGTGGTGGTGGTGGTGGTGGTGG